CTGGAGGGTCCCCTGGTGTGTGAGAGAACGTGTGCCTTTGTTCAGGGTCCCCCCGCCCCAGTGGCTGCCCACATGGCCTCGACCTGAGCTGGGGACGGGGAGGGAGATGGGTGTCCTCGGGCCTGTCCAGGGCATGGGACGGTTCATGGGGTTAGTCTGTCCATCGAGGCCTCTGTGAGGACAGGCGCGACATGTCTGGACCCATTCCTTGAGCCTGGTCCTGTGTCCTCAGCCACAGTCGTGCCCTGGCCATCAGCCACCTCCTACGCTCCTGTCACCTCCTACCCATCCCTGAGCCAGCCGGACCTGCTCCCTATCCCGTGAGTAGCATCCCCCCTTCCAAATCCCCCCCTCCTTCCCCCCTCACCTCTGTAGATTGGCCGGGTGGGGGTGTCTTTTTTCCCGGTTGCCACCCCTCTTGCCCCAGAGCCCCACCCGGGCATGACCTCTGACCTTTGACTGCCAGGAGGTCCCCCCAGCCCCACCACATGCCGTCTTCCCGGCAGGACTCAGAGGGTGGTAAGTGCGGAGCCGGGGCTCAGGGGGCTGGGGCTGGGCAGAGGACGGATCCCACCCGAGCTGACTCAGCTTCCCTCTCGCTCGCTCTCCGAAGCCAACAGTGTGGCAAGCTATGAGAACGAGGGTACGTCGGGGGCCCCGGGGGCCCTGCTTGCGGGGAGGCTGGGGCCTGGCCCGGGCCCTGTTGATCACCGTGTCGCTACCCCAGAGCCCGTCTGTGAGGACGAGGAGGAGGAAGAGGAGGACTATCACAACGAGGGCTACCTGTGAGTGGCCAGGTCCCAGGAGGTGGGGGAGGGGGTCGGGGGGGGGGGGGGGGCGTGGGCCCCGGGCCCCCCTCGCCCCCCCCCCCCCCCCCCCCCCCCGGCTGCCCCTCAGGGAGGTGCTTCCCGATAGCACGCCAGCCCCCAGCAGCGCTGTCCCACCGGCTTCTGTGCCCAGCAACCCCGGGCTCCGAGACAGCGCCTTCTCCAGTGAGCTGGCCATTCCCGAGTCTGGGCGCGACCCCTCTGTGCTTCCCTGCCCCGTGGTTCCCCTGACACCTGCC